ACGGTTGATTATTCTCTCGCGGTAGTAATTAGTGAAGGGAAAGTCTCTTCATATAGCGTTCATCCACAACCTATCGTGCAATGGAAATCTACTGATAATCCTTCTGATATCCCTAAATCTAAATTATTATCCTTTTTTAAGTTATTGAATTCAACTTTACGATTTCTTGGACATACATAGCACTTAATATAACTACTGTACATACGTATCTATTTGTTTAATATTTTGCTGGTTAAAGAAAAGTCAAAACCACCTGTGCCAGTGATGAAAAAATAAAATTTTATAATTCACATGTTTATATTACAATATGCATAGATCGAAAAATTAAATTTTATCAATTCAAACTATTATCTCTTAATTTGTAATTCAGACAAATTTGCCTAGAAATTTTTAAATAAATTAATAAATTATACTAGGAACAAGTGTATGGCCTACCCGTGGGAGAAATGGTGTGCGGGCAAACTCCACATATCCGATGACAATTATTGGTATATAGAAATAATACTATATCGATATATGACAAATGTAGTTTATAAATTTTAATGATTATGAAAAAAATCACTAATTAAAATCAAAAAATTCGAAATATCGAATTTATGAATTTTGCATGATGAAAGATTATCAAAAATTAACAAATCTATTAAAAAAATAAGTACCATTAATTCTATTGGAATAGTCCAAAAAATATTATTAGAATCTGCTAGAAAAAAACAGATGGTGAGAAGTTATTAAATGCAATAAGCAGTAAAAGAGTCATAAATCGACGAAGAAAGAACTTTAACCAAAATTTTATTGGTATTTGATGATTGAAAAAATTATCAGACTTTTTTTCTAATGAGGAAATTTCAATCTAATATTTTATTAATAAACGATTAGTAATAATGATAAAATAAATTTCAATTAAAATATAAATATTAAGACATTACAATGTTATCAGAATCCGTCAATGATAAGAGTGGAACATTTGATAAAATTATTTCGAGGTCTACATCACTTTCTGAATGATCAATTTTATTTATAACAACTGAATCAGTATTTTTTTTTCTCTTTCTCTTTTCGTGATACTGTTCCCAATCCAATAGCGTCCGAAAAGTAAGTCAAAAAGCGGAAAGCACAAAAAACATGATTACTCTATAAAATACCAAAAAGTCGAAGGAGTTAAAAGCCAAACGTTGGTCATACATAGTCTGGTTGTGAGTATAAACGACACCTAAAGCTGCAATACCACGAATACCATCAAGAAATGTAGCGTAAAACAAGGCTTATTTCGATTTTGATTTGAAGTTTGCAGAGACGTCATTTTTCTATATAGTTAAATTTTTTTAAAAAAAAACAAATTGAGAATATAATTTAATACAAATTTTTCAGTTTCTCAGCTTAATGAAAACAAATGAGCTTAGTTTAGTGCATATGTTGTGCCTCAGACTAACGCTTGCCTCAGATCACAGCTGACGTACCTCAGATGCAGATCGTCAGGTGAGGTGC